TCGCTCTCGTTCTCGTTCTCCCACAACTAGTACACGATCTCCACTTATGTTTACATTGTCATTCTTTAGCATCCTCTCACTCTCACGCAAAGCTGTCGTCACCTCATCCAGTGTGAGAGTTGTCCTACCTACAAGTAGAGTTTGGACCAATGGTTTGTAGGACTTTGGTAGTGATACTAATAACAACAATGCCTGCTCCTCATCTTTGATCTTGTCATCTGCATTCATTAGTTGGCATACTAGTTGATTGAACATGTTTATGTGATCATGAAGATTACCACCTTCCTCCATTTTGAGTGAGTACAACTCCATCTTCAAGCATAATCGATTAGTCAGTGACTTCGATGCATAGATTCCCTCGAGCTTGTCCCACAACGCCTTCGGTGTTGTCTCCTTCAACACACTAAACTTAATCTCAGGAGCAAGTGCCAACCGGATTGTACTCACAGCCTTCCTTTGCATCGCGCTCCACTCTCTATCACTCATGGAGGCAGGCTTCTCCTCATCTAGAGCTTGATCAAGACCTTGCTGCACCAATAGGTCTTGGATCGTATTCTGCCACAGCGTAAAGTTGGTCTTCCCATCAAAGAGTGGGAGCTCAAACACCTTCGACATGTTTGACGCCATCACACTATCACGAGATTTTTCTACTGAGAAAATACACCCGTTCCTCTACCACCGAGAACCTGGCTCTGATACCACTGTTGGGGAAAAACACGACACCCCGACCTTTACCAGGATCACGAGCTAAGAAGAAAAAAACTCTTGTATTATATAATTGGAATTTACAAGAGAGTGTACAAACGAACGGGTTTCTCACTTCACACTTTCTAGTTGGGAATACTCACTCTTCCTCACTACCGAGAAGCCTTTCTTTCACACCACAAATGAAAGGCTACACCATCTATTTATACTACTCACAAAGGGGTAGGGACTCCCTCTCTAGAATCTTCCACCCACCTCTCTACATTCTAGATTCTTTCAAGGAGCCTCCACAAGCTTCCATTATCTTCTTGAAGAATCTAGATGACTCCACACTTATTTAGAACACTCTAGACTACTCTACAACCTTCTACACATTTCTAGACATTTCTAGAGATTTCTACATTTCTCTAGAGACTAGAGTATTCTAGAAGATTCTATAACATTCTACACACATCTAGAGAATACTATATTTCTCTAGATAATTCCACAATATTCTAGAGAATTCTACTCATCTCCACATAGTCCTAGAATTCTCTAGAATTTCACAAAGTATTTGGAAATATTGAATTACATCCTAACAAAATATTTTACATAGTACAGTGTAAAATGTTTTTTTAAAAAATGTCTTATAGTTTACATCAAATAATCAAAACAAACGATGTAAAACGTTTCCTTCCCTGCACTTTGCATGCAAAGTGTTTATTTTACATCGTACCAAACAGGCCCTAATGGTCAGAGCATCTCCAATGTTAATACATTAACGGTGCATACGTGACATAAGAGATAGCCAATCAAAAATAATAAATAAAATATCGTTCTCCTTATTTCAAGGATCTTATATCATTTTGGTAACTTTTTCTTCACAATGTCAAGCACAATGTGTAGATGTAGACATTGTGGTTGACATTGCAGGGAAAAACTTACCAAAAACACATAAGATCGTGGAAAGGCGGAGAGAGAAATGTCAAAAAATTAATCTTTTGTGCCTATCTCTCTCATGACACATGTACACCGTGCACATTGTAGCATTGAAGATACTTTCATCAATAACGAAAAAAGATGACACCATTTGTGATAAATATATAGTAATAATTAACATTTATGCTATTCATTAATGTTGCAATTAAGGATGGACTAATCAGGGGTGACCCTGTATGTGTGAAGACCTAGAGGCGAAAAATTAAAATGAGCCTAATGTTACAAAAAATATTACAAAAAATTGTAGAGCCATTTTCTATCTTAATGCATAATAATAATATTTCAAGGCATTTATAAAAAATTGTAAAACTCGTCCTATTCTGTCTAAACAAGATTGTCATGTTTTAATTGCCAAAATAGGACTAATTACTATCATATTTTGGCAGTACCGGGCTTCAAACATGACAGTATTTTTCAAACTTTACAGTAATTACTCCTATTTTGGGAATAAAAAACATGGCAGTCCTATTTTGAAATTTTCAAACTGTTTTAGTCCTATTTCGGAAACTTTCCCCTAAACAAATCATATTGTATTAATAATTCTTATTTAGGAAGGAAACAATGGTTATCCTATTTCTACTCTTTAACAATGTTTAAGTCATATTTAAGGAATTAACTCTATTATTATCAACTCCTAAATTTCCCTTCCAATGATGTAATCATTTTGAATCATTTCATTTTCGGTAGCTAAATTATTTTTCTTCTACGAGTTCTCGTCTTGAAGATGACATTCTGAATTTGACTTTTTCACACAGACAAACTTTTCCGTTGAACTTGTTTTACTTAGCGCCGTGTTTTCTAATCTTCTCCTATTTTTTTATTTATCCTATTCAGATTCAATCCTTTTTATTACACATTGAAATTTATTAAATTTATAAATTTCATTATAATTGAAAATGTTTGTCTAACAAAATCAACAATTTATAACACCAACACTCAATAGAAAACAATTAACAACTAAGAAATCAAACAATCAACCATGAATGGAATCAATAATAAACTAATCAAATAATCATTTCAGACTAATATGCTTTCGAGTGGATTTTTTATATGAAAATTTTAGAGAATGTTTTTCATCAAGTGTAGATTTTGTCCATAAAATTTCAGCTTAAAATTTAATCGTGAAGTCAGTTAAATAAATTATTGAAAAACAATACTCGAAAATATGTATAAAAACGCATTGTTTTTCAACAATTTATTTAACTGACTTCACGATTGAACTTTGAACTGATTTCTATTACATAATCTACACTTCATAGAGAACATGATAATAAGTTTTCACAAAAAAAAAACATTTCGATGAACTTCAACAAATTTCAGCCGAAAAATTGTTAGTATAGGGCTGGAAAATCAGCCTACTCATACTTAATACAAAGAACACAATTTGGGCCTATTTTTATCCATTTTTTGGCCTAGGGCGTCTGCCCCCTTGCACCCCCCCCCTAGGGCCACCCCTGGGACTATGAGCTCCAGCCTCTATGAAAGTTGTCTCCTATTATTGAAAGGGCCTCTTGATATTTCTGAGGGGATTTGACATACATTAGACTAAAGAAAAAGATATGGACATAAATAAGACTAAATCTAAAAAATTGAAAACAAGTCAATAGTCTTGTCATCCAATGACTATTATGACCCGGATACTCCTCCAATGACCAATCTACAATGGTGACATTGGCCTCGTGGTGACCTGTCGCCTAGTGATCTGTCATCTCTGTGACTTGTCACCCAATGACCCCGTCGCAACTGTGACCCACCTTTTCACGTCTGTAACCTCACATTAACACTCTAGTCCTTGCCTGGTGTGAAGTGACCTAAGTCACCATCAGATCTGTCCACTCTGCGTGTAACTCTAGTTGTCGCTGACACTTGAAGACCTAGTTGTTGATCACACCACTATTTCCCCTATGCTCAAACAACCATTAATTAATCTTCAAAGACGAAGCAAAAGCACATCTACGTCGTCTGACATTCTTTAGTGTTCGCACGGAAGAAATTAATTGCAATCGACAATGCCCAAGAGGAAGATCACTGAAGATTGAAGAAGCAGAAGCCCCCGTGCCTAATAAACGCATTGACCAATCCAACAATGACCATCTCTCTATCGCTGCCTTCAGGCTTCATCGTCGCCAGTAGTCTCCGATCTCCACCACTGTCGTCATTGGTCATAGCCACAATCATTGATTGTAGCCGCCACCACCATTGTTCTTATGGAGAGCCGATGCATACACTAAGATGGCTAAAAAGTATGGAACGAGGGAGGTGTAAGTTGAGAGTCAGGGGAGGCTGAGATGAGACAGGTTAAGGGCATTTCAGTCCTTCCTGGGGATGGACCCAGGACGGGCCGGTTCCAGTTCGGGCTTGGGCCCAGCCGGGCTTTTTCTCTAGGAAGGGAAAACCAGAACCGGCCCGGGTAGGCAGCGGTTCGGGGTCGGTCCCGGTTCAATGTTATTTTTTTCCTTTTGTTTTGTAATTAACCCCCGACCCCCCCCCCCCTCACCCCCACCCCCCAAACCGCCCCAAAACACCCGGCCTAACCCAGTAGAAATAAAAAAAATTGAAAAAAAAATTGGCCCGAACCGGTTCCACTTTTAGGAGGCCCGAGCCCGCCCCAGGAATTGAGCGGTTCAGTAGGCCCTAACCAGCTCGAAGACCAGCCAACCGGTCTGGGCCGGGCGGCCCAACCCGAGTCCACCCCTAGTCCTTCCGCTTGTAGTATGTCTTTTTTTTTTTGCTCAACTTCAAAATTGTTCTTATTTTATCCATTGAAAAGCCTATAGTATTACTTGTGACATTATTTCTTTGGCTAAAGAGTCAAATAGGTACATGAATTAACTTAAAGTGTTCAATTAGCCCCTTATATAGGAAGTTCTGCCCGGCCATCGCCAATTGGGGAGGTTCCCGGTTGAATTTTTTGATGAAATTTTTTTAGCATCTTCTTCATTATATCTAGTTTACCCATATCAAAGTTCAGCTAAAAATTAAATCGGGAAGGCATTCAAATGATTTTCCGAAATGTACTGCGCTGTTTAATTGCACAGTTATCTTCAAAAAATTATTTGACTGCCTTCCCGGTTGAATTTTTAGCTGAAATTTGGTATGAGTAAAGTAGACTTAATGAAGAAGATGCTCAAAAAATTTCATCAAAAAATTTCACCGGGAACCGCCTCAATTGGCGACGGCCAGACAGAACCTCCTATATAAGGGGCTAATTTAACACTTTAAGTTAGTTCATGTACCTATTTGACCCTTTAGCCTATTTCTTTTTTAGTACTCTAATATGCTAAGAGTTCTTTAATTCTTAAGATTTCATTGAATGTGGATCATAACTTCTATTTAGATATAATTTTAAACATAGAACAAGCGAGAGAGAATGAGAGATGATCATAGTTTTGACGTCACTGCCTTTAGTTGAAAGTATTGACATAATGACATGTGCTAAGGTATTTTGCAACATTAAATCATAAATATAGCACGCCCGATCACTTGGAGAGGGGTTCCAATCGGACTCGAGCTTCTGCTCTTGACATTTTTACTCTTACATCGATCAATCGTATGTGATCGAGTCCCTACTCTATCACAGCAAAACAGGCTCGGCGACTTACAACTCAAGAACAGACCATCTGCATCAATCATATAGCCTGTTTCCATTTCTCTTTCCAAGTATGAACTGTGAAGCATCTCTCAAAAAGTCCATATTTCCACCCTTTTGGTTTTTACATGATACAAGTCATCCATCTGCAATGCCACCTATGTCCTATACATCAACAATTGGATGATACAGATTCACCTGGTCTGGATCCTAGAGCCCCAACAATCCAATTGCAATTGGCCATTCAACGTTCCATATGGCTCGTCTCCAATTTGTCTGGACCGTTCTGGCGTTCTACGATCGCTCATGGTGAATTTTCAGCATCAAATGTATTTCAGTTTATATTTCAGTTTTCATCTTCGCGTTTGGAGCTTTAAAAGGTCTCATCATACCATTACTGACAAATACACTTTACACTAGACTTGAAAACAAACCAGCAGAACTTATATGCAAGACAGAGGGCAGGGGTGGGGAGCAGTTAATGCTTCCTTTTGTGTTGTCAACATGGATAGAAGTTTTTGTTCTCTTGATTGAAAACATAAGAGTTACTATAATTGATTGTTAGGGAATTAAAGTAAGTAGCTAGTATTGATTACATTATTTTATTTATAATCAAACCGTTAAGTTGTGGTTGCGATGGGGTTGCCAAACAGGAATATATACATACTTCTGTGATAGTAATCCTTTATCTGGAATCATAAAGCATTTTCGGAGTCTTTTGCTGCATTGTTGCATGCTGGAGACATTTAAGAGTTCGGAGCAGCGGCCTTTGGAATTCGTATCTGTAAAAACATAGGGTCGTTATTCATGTTAGCCTCCATTTTCCTCCAATCTGCATTTTCAGGGAGTTCAATCCTCCGTACGAATCCATGTTCCCACCAATGGCTGCTGCTTTTCCAGTCGCTCCCTCCACCTTCTCTTTGCTGCTCTCTCCACACTCCCCTGATTTCCAACACTTTTCTGTTTTCAATACAGATCTGAACGCCACTGTTCCCCACTCCTGTCATTCACACACCAAAACAAAACAAAAAAAGAAATTAAAGAAAAAATGAAATGAGAACTATGTGTGAAACCAAAATCAAACCTATCAAAAAAACATCATAGCTATCTCGTTAAATGGACATAGTAAATACTGAACTCGGAATATCATCCTAAAACTCAACCTAAATGGCCCAAAATTATAGCTTAGCACGCTTGTGTATCATCACACTTAGAATCTACATTCGCAGAATCTAAGATTGGGTTAATATCATTCAATTCATCAATCGAATCATGGACCAATCCCACACTAAGAAAAATTAATCAAATTGATTATCTCCATACGAGATTCCTAATATAATGGTTTCCCTTTATTTGTGACATGAGCCTCTAACACTCCCCATCAAATGGGCTACCAGGCCATTACCCGTTCCCAACGGAAGTCTCATGGGATGTTAAGATCCACATGCTGTAAGGTAATATTCATTTAGCTGGATCGAGTAATTGGGACTATGACTGAACTGAGGGTTGATGAACAAGCCACAATTCAAGAATATTAAAATCTATAGTTTGGAACTGATCCTAGAGCACGCCAGGATTAGTACAGTGTTAGTATCATGGTATCATTCAATTAGACCATAAGCCACAACTGAAAACTTGAATCCGGCCTATAAACTTGTTCAACACAAAATATTATTAATGTATGGTAGTAATTTCTCTTCATTTGCCCATGCAAGACTCCAAAAATAAGTACATCTCTAAATATGATAGGAGCAAATAGCTCAAAATTGTATACTTTGATAAATCTGTGAATATACCGGTGAAGTATGGAACTTCAATTCTTAATAATATGACATTAAAGACACTTGTGATTAGATCGTTTCTGCCTCATACATAATTTCAGGTAGTAGGTTTTAGAGTCTGCTTAACCCCTATAGACGCTAAATATAAATACAATTGAACTTGACGATAGAACTCAAATTACTTCCTACCATCAATTTACAGTTCGTATGATAATTTAGGAGTAGTAATAAAATCAAAGAGTTGAAGCCATATCTGACCTGGTAGTTCAGCTTTTAGTGTAAGATCGGCATCGGATTGGAGCCAATCAACGTTGCAGTGATGATTTGAAGAGCGAAGTGTTGCCAACAGAACATCAGCCTCGAACTCCCACAGTGGGAAAGCATCAGAAGGGTCGAAGAATTTCCCAAACAAAAAAGGGCTGAAAAGCGAACCCCGGGCAAAAACCTTCTGCGCGGTTGCGTTGTTTTTTTCCTTCTCCATGAAGCTGCGAAAACTATCTTCCTTGAGCGGAAGACGCCATTTCTGCGGATTTGAATCTTCAAACGAAACCTCAACTTGCTTGTGGTTACTGCTCATCGTCATTCGGCCAGCCTCAAGGGCATTTTTTATTATTGTAGAGCCAATCTCATACTATCGTCGTTTTAATAAATAAACAAATAAATACTCCGTAAACAGTGCAGCCAATGGCAGGTAATGCAGAACAAATTCTTCTGTGGGAATAATGACAATGTTGAAAAGAGAGAATGATTCTTTTACATCTTCATCACACTGTTCGTTGTGTTTAACAAAGCACGGCCATCAGATGAAATGCCCAGCAAAATCAACGGCACTCTTTCATTCACGTCGCATAAGGTTGAATCATTTCCGAAGGGGTTCTATAGCTTTAAAAGGGGTTCTATAGCTTTAAATAAGCTCACGTAGGTCAAATAAATCCTTATTCAGGAGGTTCTATCCGACCGTCTCCATTTGGGATGGTTCCCGGTGGATTTTTTTATGAAATTTTTTGAGCATATTATTCATTAAGTCTAGTTTACTTATACTAAATTTCAACTGAAACGTCAATCGGGAAGGCATTCAAATGAATTCTTAAAGCTAACTGCCCAGTTAAAAACACAATTATTTTCAAGAATTTATTTGAATGTCTTTCTGATTGAATTGTTAGCTTAAATTTGGTATGAATAAACTAGACTTAATTAATAAGATGCTCAAAAAGTTTCATCAAAAAATTACACCGGAAACTGCCCCAAATGGTGACGACCGGATCGAATTTCCTATATAAAGGCTTATTTGACCTTGTTTGGTTAGTACGTGGGCTTATTTGCCCATTTTCCTTTTTTTTTTTAAATTTTTGGGCACTAATTGTTTTCAATATTGATTCTTTATTACCCGTTGAGGTTAAGTTCCAACGGTTCAAAAGCCCAACACGGCCTAATATTGGGCTTTCGTGTGATCTTTTACCGACCATTGCATTTGATGTATGAATTGAGGTAATATGAAGGCAAAAGCAATAGCAAGAACGGATGAGGCGTAAAGTGGGTCAAGTTCTGTTGCGAACTTACTGAGTCCGAATCTCAAACCCCTGTTCTACAATGAGTTATTACAGAAGATCTAGAGAGAACTCTAAAGACATGTTTACTTCAAAGTGTAATAAGCGGTGCCTATTAAACATTGTGTTAGTAAACCATTCTTAATAAGAAGTGTTTAATAAACACGTGTTTACTTCAATATGACATTTTGTTCAGTAACACAAATATACGTTTACTTCAAGAGGATTAAGATATACGTATATTATTAGTAAACGGTCAAAAATAACCCAGAAGCTTCCGTCGCCCTTTTTCATCCTTGAAGGAATTCTCTGTCAATTTCTATTGCAAAGCTGCGATTAAGGATTTCAGGAGCAAAGAATAGGTAATTTTCAAAATCCATTAACTCTACATTCTAATTCATTAATTTTTTTTTAGTGGTTTTGAAAAAACACGAATCTGTGTTCTTCCTTAATGGAGAGCAGATTTTTTGGACGGGTTCAAAATTGATTTCTATTTTCTGCGATGAACGATACCCGCGATGGACGATGGTGTTGTTTTAGAGCATCTCAATGGGGTAGTGGATTGGAGTAAAGTCTATCCTACGTGGCATAGGAGAGAGATAGAGATAGGATGATTATTTTAATTTAATATGGAGAAAGTGGTGTGTATGGAAAAATGAAAAGGAAGAGAGAGATAGGAGTAAATTGTAGACAATGTCTATGACAATGTCCACAAATAGACATTACACGGGAATCGAGGAGCAAAAGTGGATGAAAAGTGGGTTAGAAGTGATATAAAAAATGAAAATGAAAATAAATAAGGAGATATGTAGGTCCTACACATAAAATTTGTGAGATAAAAAATGGGACCCAATTGTAAAAGTGTGTAAGAGAATAGACATTCCCATTGGAGATGCTCTTAGCCAGAGGAAGAAGAATGAAAAGGTGTCGGCAAAAAAGTATGGAAGAGATAATTAGGTTATACAATGATACCGTATAAAGGATAGGAACGCAAGGGTAAGATCGCCAATATAAAAGAGCTTAAAACTCGGCTTAATAAAACATGGGGGCGCGGAAGTTTATTAAGCAGGCATATAAACGGCACACCCTCTTATTAAACGTAAAGTTACCCACACAACATGTTTACTTCACACGTATTACTTGCCTAACAGTATAATAAACGGTGAAGTAAACATGTCCTAAGTTAAAGTATACAAGTTTGACAATTACTTACAATGAAATAAATTTGAGTGTTTATACTACAATGTAGTATGTGTAGGTGATGATGTGTCGAGCCTTTATTGAATAGCCCCTAACCATAAAATCCTCTATATCTAATACACTTCACGCTAATTCTAGCTTTCCCACCGACCGCTTTGGGGAGCTCCTCGACATACAACCAGCACTACCAGAGAAAATACCAAGTATCAGAATATTACCGACCGGTGGATCCCGTGCAAAAGGTGAGTGTGCATGCTAGTTAGGCCGTCTAGGGGGAGGGTATTTGGGCTTGAACCCAATACACCAACACTACCAAAATCATTTTCAAATATACTTATTATTTTACAACCTTTTTTGAATTGTTATTTCCATAATAGTTATTCAAATAAGTTTCTCCAACGTATTTTATGTTATAGTTGAAAATAACTTTTAATTTTAAATATTAATATCATTGTTCACAAATATTGATTCAAAAGATCTAATTACGTCTTTTTGTGTACAATAAGTGTTTTTGCTAGATACTATTTAATAATTATCAAATTTTAATATAACAATGATTTAATAATAATTTTAGTTAAACTTATAGAGGGGGTTTTATGTATTTTTAATTAAAACAACACGTGACAATAGAGGGGGTTTTATATATTATAATATAATATTGGAATACATAAGAATGGAGTTTGGAAAGTTGATAGCTTTTCATTTATAGTGTTGTCGCATGTCACATTTTCCTTACAAATATGTTGTCACATGTCAATAATTCATCTAAAGAGTTCTTCAAGAGTCGACTTTATGATATTATACGTAGTATAGATTATATAGATATAGATAAAAACAAAGGGCATGGATTTATACATATTCGTGTAAAGTTAGAATTTACAATCACAAGGCTTATATTAATACTAGTTTTCACATCGCGCGTTGCGCGATTTAGATAATGCCCAATAAGAGTATGGCATTTTGGTTAGGATAGTTAATTTTCATAGAAATGCATATATGATACTATGTATTTGTTATTCTCCAAATAATAAAGTGGAGAACAACAAGAAATGGTTGCAATGTAGACTTAAAAGTGAGTAAATGATAGATCTCTCTTTTTATATTGAAGAGTTTAATAGGTTACCTAAGAAGCATTCAAGTTATGTAGTAGTCCAAATCTATATAAGAATGTCAGTTCTAATGAAAACGAAAAAAAGACCATCCGAAATGGTACCGCTCCGCTTAAGTTTGCAAGTGAATATTAATACATCAATAATACACACAATCAATATGAAATAAAAAATAAGGGTTCTAATTTGATATGAACCTCTAAGTTTCATGTTGAGGTTTCGGAAGACCTACAAGAGCTAGTAGTAAAATATGAATTTGAATTATTATATTTAAAATTTGAAATCAAACTTTGGTAATAATTAAGAAACAAATGTTTACCTCATTATATGCTTTCCCACCATAGTAATGTATAGCGAGTAGTCTAAAAAAATGCTTTCCCACCATTTCATGTGTTGGTTATTCATTTAAATCCCAATATTTCTCTTGCACTCTTTGTTCTACATATGTATGATACGCCTATTGATTATCAATTTGAGCACACTAAAGTTTTTTTTATTGAAAAAACATGTGAAAAAATTGAATGTAACTGAAGTCAATCCATAGTGACGGGTCAATTTTAATATTAAATTATTAAGTGGGAAGGGGGTCAAACTAAAACCTCCCCAGGAGGCATTCCTCTTTACATAACATCAATTTGAAAATAAAACAACCACATTAACAAAAACTGAGGCTAAGAACACCCTCATCATATAAGGTAGTAGCACCCTTAACCATAGGGTGTAAAGATTCAATCTGAGTGTAAACATGTTTATTAGTATGCTCAAAATTGGTTTGTGCAAATACAGCAGCTGCATTATTTCCTTCTAGATTTATGGGTAACATTCTACTATTGAATTATCTTTAATCTCTGTAATTAATTTGCTGCTCTACTAAGGAGGGCTTCATCCCTGAACATCATCAATACCAAAATATAGCATTCTATAGCTTTGTATAAGAACCAAGATCAACACCAAGAACAAATAGCTAGGGAATTTATCAATAGGGGAAAAGCAAAAATTGCTATGAACCAGCTTAATGACACCTCCGGCTGCTAGTAAGTTTTTATCATTTTTAGTTAACACGTATGGATTACATATGGTGCAAATAACTCTTCAACATACACATTATGGGGTGCAAAAGTGATACTCCCTCCGTCCCATTTTAGTTAGCCAAACTTGACTTTTCAAGTGAATGACGTCTAACTTTGACCGATTATATGTTTATATAGAGAAAATATTGATAATATGAAAATGATATGAGAATGTTCTTTGTTAAAAATACTATCATAAAAGCATAAAATTATTAAATTTTGTATAAATAAATTAGTTAAAACAATTGGTCAAAATTTACCATCTTTGACAGAAAAAGTCAAAGATGGCTAAGTAAATTAGGATGGAGGTAGTATGGGTATGAGAGAAACACATTGTATTTAAAGTTGTTGTTTTAAATTTATATATCAATCTGTCAATTTGTGCTTGTTCAATCTTTTTCCCCAAGATGAATGATAGCTAAAATGCACTATTGCTTTTACAAAATAGCAATGTAATATATAAAATAATTAACCACTCTCATTCAGATTTTTCTCATTTTTTTGCAGTCTTAAAATGTTATTCCATTTTCTTTTAAGAAAAAGACTGAGGTTGATATTGCATCTTTTTTTGCTATGTAAACCTTAGGTACACAATTTTACTTTATTCGCAGTTGTAGCAAGTTAGTTGAAGTGATGATTAAATATCGGGGCAGGTTAAGTTTTTTTAGTTTATAAAGAAACACACATTTTATTAATTTAAAAAAAGAGTACACGTGGAGGGGGTTGTATTGCCAACTCCCGAGGGGTTTTCTACCCCCCGTGCAGGTGTGAAACCGGGCCAGTCCAGGTCGGGCCCAAGCCCGGGGCCGGCCGATCATGGATCTAACTAATTAAAGCCCAACCGACCCGAATTGGTCCGGTACCGGTTCTTGGTCGGGACCAAACAGTACCGGTTCTGTTTTACTTGTATGCATGGTTATAACATATTCAGAGAATGGGAGCAGTTCTTCATGCTGCAGCAAGACTAATGTGTGTGTATAACAGTTAAAAAACTCAATACAAAAGACA